ATTTCTTATTATTTTAATATTATTAATAAACCATTAATACATTTAATTACAATAATATTGTCTTGCCGAGCGGGGACGGAACGAAGACAAAGGCGCAGACGTCAGGGTATCGGGGAATACGGGTTTAATTACAGGTAAGGCAGGCAAAACGCAGACGGACAATACAATGACCAGACTGGGGAAACAGACTGAAACGCGGACGAAATACAGAGGACTAATGACAACAATCTGCTGATCACACGGGGATTCCACACGGGGTTAACGAGGGGGCGTGGCACACGGAAGGAGCAGACGATCGACGCAGGACAGAGCTGTCAACTGTTTTTTTTTTTAACTTTACACATTGTTTGGGTACATTTATTTTCTTACTTTACAAATTACTGTTTTGAAAAAATGTCCTTAGATGTGTTTAGTACAGTATATGCTCTTCTTGTTTTATCCGGTTCATTTTGTGTTTAAATGCTAAAAAAAAAAATATATATTTAGGCCGGGAACCAATTAATTGGTTTTCCATTATTTCTTATGGGGAAAATTCGATCAGAACCCGAACTTTTTAGGATTCGAATAAGAGTTCTGAACGGATTAAATTTGAGTTCTGAGGTACCACTGTATATAGGTTGTACATGTACCCTTATTACAAATCGAATAGCCTATATTGTTTATTAGGTCTTGAGTAAAGACACACGCCTGTAAAACATATTGTCGCATCCTTAATTCCCTCATGCTCTGATTAGATGAGGATCCAGAATCACTCAAAAAGTAACAGAGGCAGCAATAAATAAATCTATTAGAAAATGAAAGTGCAACCCCAATGGTACAAAAATGTTCCTCAGAGTGCATTTCTTGTAAATTGTACCTTAAAGGGTTTGATTACCTACTGCTAAGGGTACAATTGGCAGAACCTTGAGAAAAAAAGTACCAATTTGTACTGTACCTTTGGGAGTTCAGTTTCTTGTCACTGGGGCTGTACCCTTTTGTTCCGACAGTGTATAGTCCCACTGACAAGCAACTGTACCCTTAAAAGTACAAATTGAGCCTATTCCGGGAATCACTGGGGTATACCAAGGATGGGAAGTTAGTCTATTACAGAGCACACACTCACACACAAAACAAAAGTGAGAGTCATCGATTCAAATGGACTTTGATGGTGGTGGGGGACTCAGTACCTGGGGGTGGGTGTGACTCCCAGTGCTGGAGGGATGAGGCTGCAGTGCTGACCACTGTGCTACAGTGCTGGCCCAAATATGGCCCAGAATAACTTGAAGTCTCGTGTCATCTAGAGTAGTGTTTCCTAATCCGGTCCTCGGGGACCCACAGTCGGTCCATGTTTTTGCTCCCTCCCACTGCGATCTGGAAGGGAGCGAAAATGTGGACTGTGGGTCCCAAAGGACTGGATTGGGAAACACTGATCTAGAGTCATAATCTGACCTACTCCTATACGACACACAATATCAACAAAAAATGACTTAGAAGGCCCTATAATGTCTTCTGGGTCTATTTCTAAAGTTATGTAACCTGGCAACTTCCGGTGATCTAGTTTGGAGATTTCAGCACCTTGGACAAGGAAAGCACTGCTGGCACTGTTATTTCTAGCTCATTGCCACTAATAATAGTCCGGGTAAATTCCCACAACCTGAAAAGAAAATGTTCATTTCCAGCTCATGTGTAACGCGTTTCCACTTTAGATGATTCTGTTAATTCCGCTAAAATTAACATTTAATACTAGACATATGTACTATGGCACAAAAAAAAATCACAGAATTAATCATGGCTTAAAATACAGTTTCAGGCACAATCACAATCCGTCTAGTTTATTATTTCAATCCAACTGAAAAGAAATTATTTAAACTACTTACAGTAGACCTGGGCAAGCTCATGCGCCATATCCAGCCCACGAAGATATTTTTACTGGCAAGCATTAAAATGGGAAAAACTGATAATGTTTCAGGTATATGAAGATGAATAATTTGTGAAATCTTTCCTTGAAAGCAATAATAGGTATACAACAATACAAAGTGAATCGCTATTATATATTAATATATTCTATAGTATATATTAAGTTGTTTGTTAGGTCTTGAGTAAAGACACACGCCTATAAAACATGTTGTTTTCGCATCCTTGAAGTCTCTCATGCTCTGATTAGATGAGGATCCTTGGATTGCCACCTTATCGTGGTGGAGGGGTTTGCGTGCTTCAGTGACCCTGGGGGCTATGTTGTCGGAGTGATTGCCCCTGGTAGGGTCTCCCCAGGCAAAAAGGTCCTAGGTGAGTGGCCAGACGAAGAGCAATCCAAAAAACCTATGATGAAATGTACCACAGCAAGATCTCGTTACCCTCGCTTGGACTAAGGTCACCGGGGCCCCACCCTGGAGCCAGGCCTGGGGGAGGGGCCCGTTGGAGAGTGCCTGGTGGCCAGGCTTTGGCCCGTGGGGCCCGGGTGGGTCCCCAGGAGGGCCCATCACCTGCAAGGGGAATGTCAGGGATTCGGTGTGATGTGGATCGTGTGGTAGCCAAGGGAGACCCCAGCAGACCGATCCCCAGCTGACTAAACTGGCTTTTGGGGAAGGAGCCTGAGCTTGTGTGTGAGGCTGAGAGATACCGGCTAGATATAGTCGGACTCACCTCAACACATAGCGTGGGCTCTGGAACCTGGAGAGGAGCTGGATACTCTTTTCTTCTGGAGTTGCAGGGGGTGAGTGACGCCGGGCTGGGGTGGGGCTACTGGTGGCCCCACAGCTCGGTGCATTAACATCAGAGTTTACCCCAGTGAACGAGAGGGCTGTCTCCCTGTGCCTTTGGGTCGGGGAGAGGTCTCTGCCTGTCATCTGCGCCTATGTGCCGAATGACAGTTTGGAGTACCCAACCTTCTTGAACTTGGGTTGGACGATGGATTCCACTGTTTTGCTGGGGTACTTCAATGCTCACGTGGGTAACGACAGTGTGGCAGGGAGGGGGGTGATTGGGAGGAACGGACTCCCTGATCTGAACCCGAGTGGTGCTGTGTTGTTGGACTTCAGTGCATGTCTATAAGTGTCTTTACAGCTGACATGGTATGAACATATCTGGGGCTACAGGTCCATGATCGACTTTATAATCCTATCATCTGATCTGTGGCCTTTTGTCTTGGACACTTGCGTGATGTTAGGGGCAGAGCTGTCAACTGATCACCACCTGGTGGTGGGTTGGCTCAGGTGGCGGAGAAGGAAGCCGGTCAGACCTGGTAGGCCCAAACGCATGCCCAAACGCATAGTGAGGGTCTGCTGGGAACATCTGGGAGAGGCTCCTGTTCACCGGAGCTTCAACTCGCGCCTCCGGCAGAACTCCAACTGCATGCCGGGGGAGGTTGGGGACATTGAGTCTGAATGGACACTGTTCCGGACCTCCATTGTGGAAGCGGCCGTACGGAGCTGTGGCTGCAGGGTGGTCGGTGCCAGTCGTGGCGGTAACCCCCGTACCCGATGGTGGACACCAGAGGTGAGGGGGGCTGTCAAGCTGAAGAAGGAGGCCTAACGGGAATTATTAGCCCGGGGGTCTCTGGAGGCAGCTGACGGGTACTGGCAGGCCAGGCGGAACGCGGTTGCGGAAGCAAAAACCCAGGTGTTGGAGGAGTTTGGTGAGGCCATGGAAAGTGACTTTCAGACTACTGGGAAAGTCTATTCCGGGGTACTGGAGAGGAGGGTGAGATCGATAGTCGAATCTCAGATTCAGGAGGAACAATGTGGTTTTCATCCTGGCCGTGGAACACTGGACCCTTGCGAGGGTACTGGAGGGGTCCTGGGAGTTCGCCTATCCAGTCTACATGTGCTTTGTGGATTTGGAAAAGGCTTACGACCGGGTTCCCCGAGGTGCTCTGTGGGGGGTGCTTCGGGAGTATGGGGTCCGGGGTCCACTGTTGTGGGCGATTCGGTCCCAGTATGAATGGAGCAGAAGCTTGGTCCGCATTGCCGGTAATAAGTTGGATGTGTTCCCAGTGCGGGTTGGGCTACCCTCACCTATGCTCATGAGCTGTGGGTAATGACCGAAAGAATGAAACTGTGGATACAGGCGGCCGAAATGAGGTTTCTCCGCAGGGTATCTGAGCTCTCCCTTAGAGATAGGGTGAGAAGTTTGGATATCCGGGAGAGTCTCAGAGTAGAACCGCTGCTTCTCCACGTCGAAAGGAGCCAGTTGAGGTGGTTTGGACACCTGGTGCGGATACCTACTGGGCGGCTACCCGGAGAGGTTTTCCGTGCATGTCCTACAGGGAGGAGGCCCCGGGGCAGACCCAGGACACGCTGGAGGGATTATATCTCTCGGCAAGCCTGGGAACGCCTCGGCGTCCTCCCCGAGGAGCTGGTAGAGGTAGCTGAGGAGAGGGAGGTCTGGGTATCTCTCTTAAAGTTGCTACCCCTGCGACCCGGACCCCGGACAAGCGGGTGATAATGGATGGATGGATGGATGGATATACAACAATAGCTAACAAGTCTATTATTGTAGCTTTCATACATACTGTACAAATAATGGACCCAGCTGACATGGTGAAGCTCAAATTTGGCCGTCCACAGAAAATAATTGCCCCGGCCTGTCTTACAGAGTGAACAGCCATTTCATTGAATCAAACCTTTGCACAAAATCTGCATAAATGCATTTATTTAGCTACTTAAAATCCATCCATCCATTATCCATACCGCTTTATCCATCTGGGTCACGGGGAAGCTGGAGCCAATCCCAGCATCTTTGGGCGAGAGGGGGGGGAACACCCTGGGCAGACATGCAAATGGAGATACATGTAAAAAGGGAACAGCATGCTTTTGGTTGGAAAGAATATTGTTTAATATGCTTTAAGTCACATTTGTGTGCTGCCATCTAGTGGAATTTTGTTGTACCTGCGTAATAGCCCAGTAACTGGGGATCTCGTTAGCGGTTATGCCAGCCGCCTACAGGGCGTAATGGCAAAAATGCAAGTTAGATATCCCACATATTTCAGAGATGGTATAGTGTTTTTGAAAGTAAGTCAATTTCAATATCAGGAAAATCAAGAAACTATGCAACTCGTGCAAGATATCTTCGAACAATTGCGAATATTACCCGTAATGGCTTTATATACACAGTATAAACCTGTTGAGGTTTTCGAGTTTCCAGTATGAACGTCTAACTGGGACAATAACTGCTCGCTGGAATCTTGCCTTTCATATTAACATTATGATTTAGCGAGATATGATGGTTTCATTTAAAAAGAAAACAATTATAGTGAGCTATTGTATGTTCAAATGGTTAATGGGTGATGAAGACGTCGCCCGGGCGATGAATATGCACACACAGAACAGAAGGATCAGTAAACCTGAATTTCTGTAATGAGGTAGTCCTTCCTTGTAACAAAGTGTGGCCTATGTCCACTGTTGGATGTACACGGTCAATGAGAAATCCGCGCTCACTGACGTTATTCGACTATTAAACTTCTATAAATGGAAAGGATCACAGTGGAAAGTCAGCACGGCTGCACATGTAGGTAGTGCCTTTTAGTAATCTTTTTACGTAACTGTTCAGTAACTGCTTAAGAGCTGTTTTTGTAGTAGGTTAATTGTTTCAAGCCAGGGCTCGATTATAGGCGTAGAGCTATATGATGTAAGCACCGAATCACAATAAATGACACATCCTTGTAACGAATTAATTTCACAAAAACCAAATGTAAAATTGTTTGTATAATGTTTATTTTTCTCAGTTAATTCGGACAAAACTTGGATTTTAAATTTACCCACTGTTCTGTGCTTTGGGATATCAACACCGTTACACCGCCAGTGAAGCGATGGATGCTGATGAACTCCAGTGCATTGCCCCGTCTTCTTGCTAAAATCCCCCTTAAGTACCTTGGACAGATTTTTAAGCTTCGTCTTGAAGACCGTGCGGCTGATTCTTCCTCATAGTGCCGACGCAAAAATCAATTTCTTGGTGATATAGAAGACAAACAATGGCAAAATCATCAGTGACCATTTTTTTGTTTGCTTTTTTTATATGTATTTTCTCCAATTTAATTACTGTTGAAGGATGGTGGTCGCAGGATTTACCTATAAAAACGACAGATATCAGCGGGAACAAGAAAGAACTGGTGAGTGACCGGGTTTGTCTTTGGGCAATTCCATCATAAATATTAGACCTGCAACGCAATTTTATTTCGTCGTCCTTTTTGAAATAGTTTGTTCAAGTTCTACTTATTTTATTGCACTTCTTTTAAAATTATAACTGTTAAAATTGCATTGCTTGAAACGGAGTTTAATGAAACTAGGTTGCAATACCAAACAAATCAGGGAATCTACATTTTGGGGGGGAAATTGTCATATTTTCGGCCTAAAATAAATTTCCAAAAAAAAAAACTGAACGTCGCAAAACAGTTTAAATTCCATATTTTAATACTTCTCACCTCCAGGGTTGGGGGTTCAAATCTGAAATCACATATCAAGTCTGTGGCGTGTGCATCCCTCGGAAACTGGAACCATATGCTGCATATAGGATAGGCTCTGATCTATACATTTTTCTAAGCGTCAAGCGTTTTAATATACAGTTTCTTTAAAATATATTTACAGCTGCCCTGTAACATTTCGTTAACGTAATTAAAACATTCCGAGAAAACGGGGCACTATTCTCGTATGCACGCCTGTCACTTCTTCACGTAATATTTATTTTAAAAGTTTCCATTGTCTCCTAGTTATTTTTCATTTTTGATTAATCGCATCACTGAACAACTTAGCGACGACGGCATGCTTCATGTTATTAAATGCTTCGAGTCAATGGAACGCTTGTAGCTGGTTAGTATAAGAAGCCAGTGCTTAAGTATTTAATCAGCTTCGTTTTCATCTGTTCTAGCTGGGTGTTCTTCACAATGTTTTGGAGAAACTTCAGAAGAAGAGGATGAGTAATTGGGATAGGAAGCCGAGTCGACTTCCTGTGGTACGCAAATATCTACAAAATATAATATTTTACATTGGTGTAACAAATGTAACAGTGCACAACGATTTAATGTAGTGCCCTCGTTGTTAGATTACTATTTTTTCGAGGACTGTTTGGGCATAGTACAAAGCATTTTTACAAAGAAAATTAAATTTGTCGTCCCCTCCCGTTCAACATTTCTTTCAAAAGTGATATTTGCATCTAATAACATCAGATCCAGTGTAATGCTTTTAACCGTGGAATATTAATATTCGTACGTGTAAGTAGATTACCGTCTTCCTAACTAACATATCACTGTTCTTCAGTGCTCTGTAGGTGGCCTTTGTTCAGTGAAAAGGGGACCCCGGTTTGGCCAACTATGCGACTGTCCACGAAGGTCAAAATGCAACCATTTCTTCCTCAAATGTTTATGATATCACGTATGCAAACTGTTACACAAAAGCAACACGTATTGGCCTTCTCCTGAAAGGTTTTTAAAATTGTGGTCAATATTTTGAACTTGTATTTTGCTGTAGACAAAAGCATCTGCTGTGTAAAATAAATGTAATGAAACATATTTCTATAACAACTATGCAAGTATGAAGATTAAGCAAAAATAAAGATATGTTTTATTTTGTAATATCTAAATATATGGGAGAATGCAGACTTCAAAAAACTTCAAGCAAAGTCCAAACTTTTAATTTAATTAATCATATTTAACTCATTTCCCTTGAGAGATATGTCTTTAAATTTATACAAAGTACATTAATTACACATGACTTTGTTATGCTGTTCCAACTTAAAAAAAAAAAAAATTACCCACCAACCCTGTAATGACCAGCTGAGTTTCATGTTGTTATTGTCATTACACTGATTGTCCATAAGGGGTCACTGGCAAACAAGTGAAAATACTGTATGGTTCCTTCACCATGGAAGGAACCAGTCAGCTATTCCTAGTAAATATTTTAGACCATTAGTGTCCTAAAAACCAAAATACAATCTTTTTGCAGTTGGTCAATTACATTTCAGCAGCACCACAAACCATGCAATAAAACATAACCACATCCAAAAGTCAAATCAAATACACTGCACAAAACTAGTTGAACATTATTTAATATAACTTATAAGATCTCAATAGTTAAAAGACAATGGTGAATTTCAGATTATTCTCCCACAAATGCTGCCCCCCTGCAGAGATATTGAAGGGTGTAAACAAGAGGATTATTTGTGCTGCATCTTTAATCAAGTCCCACCCAACCCTAAAAAAAAACTGCAGTCAAAAGCTTGACTTAGACTTCCGGAACCCAGATGATAAATGTCATTTTAGCTTCATTATGGGGAAATAAAAACTTGGATAGGAGAACAAGAACCCTTTAATTCAACCAGAGCAAGATTCTGGAAAATGTACCAATTCTGAATGATCACGGAGAGTAGAAGCATCAAGAACGCGGAAAACGTTCAAGCCATGATCAGAATGACTGGAAGTACTGACCATCAAGCTTGCTTGCAGCTTGATTTAGCTGCTAAACACATCACATACCATTCAGACTAGCAATCTGAGTCACAGAAAGACTACCACACTACCCACCGTAGACCACAGAAATACCATCTGTAACATAAACATGACGGAACAGATCACTTAGAACTGGAATTAAAAGGGAAACCAAAGCACTGGAGTATATCCACATGGATTACTGACAGTGAAAAGCGTTCCAGGAAAAACAAGAATTTGTGGATTCCTTCCCCACTTCTGCATTCATTGTCCATTCATCCTACATAAAATTAGACTCTTGTAATCTACCCCATCTTATTATGTTTTTATTTTTTGGCTTTCTTATCTGTGCTGCACACAAAGTGTCAACACATTCTCTGGTCTTTAAATGGGAAGCAATGGTTCTATTAGACTACCTGCTTGTAAATGTTTTCTGGTGATTTTTTGCATAGCAACTATAAATTAGTCCATTCTTTTCTCAATCCATCCATTTTTACTACTGGACTAATAGGTTTAGAATAGTATTTCGTCATATATCCCGGCAAAGATGGGACACAGAGAGACACCCAAGCAACCCCTCTGGGAAGGTAATTTCACACTGGGATAAAACGTTAGTGATGTCTTCATTAAATCTACTGTGCAAACCGCACTGTAACACTCTCAGAAAAAAAGGGCAAAAATGTGAACCTTTGCTTGTCACTGGGGCTGTACCCTTGAAATTTGACCTTTTAAGGTACAGAAATGGACTCTGAGGATGTTATATTAATGCTGTTTGTACCTGCACAGGTACAAACAGTATTAATATACCATCAATGGTACAGAAATGTTCCTCAGAGTCCATTTCTGTACCTTAAAAGGTACAATTACCTGCAGTTAAGGGTACAATTGGCAGAACCAGTGACAAGCAAAGGTACAAGTTTTTACCATTTTTCTGAGAGTGCAACAGGTGTCCAGTTAAATTAACTCTCTTGATTACGGAATCATCTTTCCAAGTGTATTAAAAACTAAATCATACATTTAACATGAAAAGAAGGAACATTTGATGACTTGAAAAAGGAGACAGGTGTTCGGGGGCAGGTTCCTGCCACCCCAGCTACACGGATTCCAACTGCCTGCGGACCTTCTCTGACGCTCGCCGGTCAAGTGCCCTCTGTCGCGAGATCACCAAGAGCGCAAAGACCACCATCAGGCACAACACTGTGCCCTCAAATTTCCAGAAGAGACGTTCCTCCACTGCGACAGAGCGACAACTGGACCAGCAAAGGAGGGAAGAAATGTAAGTAAATCAACTACAATATATCAGCCAAAACATAATGTAAACTGTACTGCAGTACAATGTTCAAAATCAGTTAGAGTGGTGACATATATCATACAGACTCTCCATCCACATCCTGAGGTTCTGTATGAAACATCTAAGCCATACTGGGTGGTAGGAATAATTTTATATATATATATATATATATTATATATATATAAATTCAATTAATCTAAGCGTTAATTAAAAATATGATTTCAAATACATTTCAATAATAAGTATGTAAAGAATTCCACATCAATGAGACATAGATAATCACCTCTTGTACTCATCCTTCTTGGACTTGGCACAGTTGATCTTCTCAACATATCCAGTTGGGTTGCAGACTGGCCATAATTTCTGGGGGGGGGGGATAACCATGAAGTGAAGGGTATGGCTTGTACTCCACCCCAGCCGAAGGCAGTCTGGACGATGCTTACCAGCTGGAAGGCGTTGCACTGGAAACACTCAGCCGACACCACAAATTCCTCCACCTGCCAGCACGGCGTGGCCATTGGATCCAGAGCTGCAACACAAGCCCAGCCATAAGCTTGCATTCATTAGCTGCTATTCAGTAGCAGACTGAATAATAATTCATGGGTGTTATAGAAGCTGTTCTGCAAAGAATACACCACCAAGCTCTGATGTATGCATCACTTCATAAATCAAAAAACATACTTTATGTCACAGCCTAATAACCAAAAACATAAAGAGTAACCTTACTTGAAGTACTTTCTTTGCTCAAAGCAGATACACCAAGCACCCTGTTTATGCAGAAAGAAATCTTGGGTTATACCCCAAGCAAACGTTACAAAGCGACTAACCACGACCGACAACTTAATGGATCTTAGTTTCTGTCTTACCTAAAGGACAACAAACACCACAGCAGTATGCAACAGGCAGGTCTCCTTGTCCAAATCCTAAAATCGCTTTCCATCTCATTTAAACAGGTGTGTGGATGTTGCCAGTACAGGATCACACCAAGTGTGCCATCATCGTATACATTTTTCTACTTTTGAAGCTGGAAAGACAGGAAAAGACAGCCTTAACAAGCTAGTCAATTATGCTTTAAAATCTAAACCCCCAATACATCGCTAACTATGAAGCAGATATCAAACGTTACAAATTATACAAGAATCTAATATGTCTGCGCTGCTAAGAGAACTGAACATACATGTAAACTTACTCGCTACCTAGCAATAGCATAAACTCCTATTAGCTGCTACAGAAGGAATATACTCACCGAAAGATATTGTCTGTACTGTTATCTTTGACATTAGTGGTCCATGTCCACCAGTTTCGCACGTAAATGTACTCGACAGGCTTCTAGCAGCACTCTAAGATGAACATTACACCGACACTATCCCGCGAAGTTTATCCCACTTGGGGAACTCAGTCTGCGCTGGGTTACTTTACGCAGGCGCTACGCCATCGCGTAAACATGCCGCAAATCGTGAGTTCCGCGCTGTTGATTCCACGTAGTTGGCGGAAGCGCGCCGGCGCCGCCTCCCCGGCCTGTTGCGTCATCGCTCACTTCGCTGCATCATGGTGGCTCGATCGTCGCGTACGTAGAGTGTTATTCCAAGGTTCGCCTTTTGTTCATTATTAGATGCTATTCGACTCCCATTTTAAAAGCGAAATTCGTATTTCCATGCCCAGTGGCATAACCGGCGAGCACGACCTTTTGCTAACCGTCTATTCCGCTCAGTCTAACACATGACGCTTATTAAAGACCTTATGGCGTATAATGGTGCTTATGATTACCCGAGCATTTGCCATTTTTTTTTACTTTGCTACTGTACGCACAACATAAACCTTGGAATGAAAGGAAATACACAGTAAGACTGTGGTTCACCACTCTGCTCCAGGAATCACCGATACTTTATTAAAATTGTTACTGACACTTAAGTAACCTTAATCGGTGCTTTTAATGTTCTACGTTTTTTCTATATTTCACAACAAATACCTTTGGCCTACTGTAGTGGAAATGGAACTGTTTTATGATACTCTTTCCCGTCTTCAACACATCAGCAAGGCAGTAACTCGACTATAATTAGTGAGGAAGCTTATTCCAAATTGTCAGATTCATCAACGCAAGTGCTTTTCATTGAGCAGATCCAAATTTGAACGCTCAGTTACTCTGAAAAAAGCAGGGAAAGCTACAGGCAATTTACTTCCAGTCAGAAAAATGCCCATACAAGAAACTCAGTATGTACATTCATTCATTTTTCACTGCTTGCCTGGGTTGTGTGAGCCGTAGTCTGAGCAGAGATGCCCAGACCCTCCCTCTCCTAGGAATTTCCTCCTGCGGGATACTGAGCTGCTCCCTGGTCAGCTGAGAGACCCATTACATTAAACGACCAATAACAGTGCAAGACACTGCAGACTTTGTAAACAAAGGGCCTGTATTTATACAATAGTTCCACTCTTCATAAATGCATAACCAAAAAAAAAAATCCTTCAATATATGCTTGCCTGTTTTATTCACATGTCTATAAGCACACGGAGAGTGGGATAATGTTTCCATGGAGTTGTTTTTGCGCAGATAAAATTCTTCAGAAAGGCGACAGTTGTTCCTTCATCCATTTAACGAAACAGAAAAGGAGTGATACAAATATGCTATGTGGCTCACCAAGCATGCCAGCAGAAGGCCCATCATAGCCTACAAAAGTAAACCTGTCAAATTGCCAGCAATCATCTGATGAAGAACCTCACAATTCTAAGAGCCCAGGAGAACTCCAGGACATAAGTAAGCTATTCGTACAAGATTGTTCACATCTCATCCGCATGGGCTGGTTTCGTGGGATCAGCATCGTTGCTCCCCTGTCCTTTGGCAGATGTCAAAGCCAGAGACAGCGTGTCTGTTTTTCCCTCATTTGGAAGCGAACTGTTTCTTGATTGGTTCTCTGCCTGGTCTGCGCCTTCTTGAGGGACCGCCTCCAGACTTTCGATTGGCTGATGTCGTAGACTAGAAGTCCGATCTAAGGTATCTGATTGACTCATGTCTGGTGAATAAGACAGGATTTCACCATGAATGTCAGCGTCGTCCACGTCCTCTGATATTTGCAAAGAGGAGGCGGGGTCAGTCAGGATATTTCTTGAAATAACTGTAATAGTGAAGAACACAACAGAAAAGTGGTCATGAATTTTCTCAAATTCAGCACTTGTGAACTGATACATCTTAATTCCTCCTCACTACATATACTATTATGCTATTAATGATATATAAAGAGTATGATGTTAATTATGTAAAACACGACCTGGAAGATTATTGAAACCACCACAGAAAAATGGATCATTTCAGGGGTCCTTCCAAAACCAGGCAAGAAAACACAGAAGTGTAAACTGGAAGATTATCTTTCTGTCAGATTAACTGTCAGAGTATATGCATATAGGGATGAATGAACCATGTTCCCTTAACTAGGTACACTACAGCCAAGAGTTTGGGCCCACCCTCAGATTTAAAAAAAAAATAAATGATACACTGCTTTTTCAAACTTTTATTACAAGAAAATATTAGAAATACTTAAAATAATTGTAACTGGCTGTTTTTGAAGAGAACCCTTCTTCACTGAAAATTTCGATTTGAGCCCTCTGTTCAATTGTTAGCTGTGCCTTTTTAGCCATTACAAGCAGAAAAATAACAAATATTTATCAAAAATTCTGACTAGTTGTGACAATGGAAGATTGAAACGAGGAACAGACAGTGACTTGAACCTCTCATAAACTTATCTGGGACAAGGCAGACAAGTAAGTATCGTTTAGTTTATTAAGACACGATCAAGAGAGGCCACAAGCAAATCGAGTTCTGACATTAGTAAACAGAATTCACACAAAGTGAATGTCAATGCACTAAAGTAGACCTGATATGTCTTCAAAACCAGTAGTTCAGCCTTTGTGGCTAAATGATGTGTTACTGAAAACCAGTCAGTCACATTTGTTTTAAGCATTTCGAATATTTCCTTGTAATAAAAGTTTGACAAAGCAGTGTATTGTTTATTTTTTTAAAAATCTGAGAGTGCGGCCAAATTTCTGGCCTGTAGTGCATAAAACTAAAAATGGGAAGTATATATTTTCTGAAGCAAGCAGAATTCAATCATGTAATGATTTAGACTTATAAGGGGGAGCTAATCAGTTCAGTTTAGTTAAAGGAATGTGGATGGAGTTATCGGGGAGAGGGTGAATAATCTGAAATATTCTGCAGGGAGGGGTTAGCATCCTATGACAAGAGCAGCGATTCGGCTATGTTTTGTAGAACACATTATTTCAGTCTGTTAACTACAGTTGTCAGAAAATGTTTGTGGATTTGTCTGGACTTCTCAATGAATAGCTCCTAAAATGTGATCTTCATCTCGATCTTCATAAAAGTCATAGTAATAAATTTAACAAAGCACACTCCTTAGATTGCCCATTTTTTGCAGAAGAAATGGCTTAAACAATCAGGGTATTTGATGAAAAATATGTAAACCTTCAGAATAATATCTTCAAAAGTGTGTTTGTTTTAGTCAGGTATGAGTTTGACCTAAAAAGAAATCAATTCAGTGTTGATTACCTGCTCTTCACACTAGACCTCAGAAGAAAAGAAATTCAGCACAATTTCTACAATCTATAACAGTTGGTGTCCCAAGCCATGGAACATCAAACAAGTGACAAAGAAGCTGAAGGTGACAAGTGAGGATTTTGCAGGCATCTCTGCACTTGATAAGATCCACGTTCCTGATTCCCTGATAAGAAAAACACTGACAGAGAGTCGTGTTCATGGGAAGTAACCATGGAGGAAACCACTGCTCTCTAAAAAGCATTACTGTCTCATTTGCTGAAGACCACCTAGGTGTTCAACTGCATCACTGCAACAAACCTTCTGTGGAGAGATGACAGAAAGGTTGAACTTTCGGTAAATGTACGCAGTGTTCTAAATGGAGGAAGGAAAACACTGTACACTAGCATCACAACCTCATCCCAGCTGTGACACATGCAGGGAGTGTAAGGATGTGGGCCAGCTGGGGCCTGGTTGACTTGCAATCACTGAGGAACCAATGAATTTCAAGTTTGCGCCTAAAAAAATTATGCAGCAGAATATCTGGGTGTCCATCTTCCAACTACTTATCCTGTTGTTGTTGTTGGTTATTGCCAACAAAGGAGGCTGCATAGTTTCTAAATCCAATGATTCACATATTTGTTCCATCAATGGCCTTGAATGTTTAAACCATTTTTTTTTTTCAAAAACACAAGGTGGAGTAAAATGTTTTGTTTGTTGTTTGTCAAATAAAATCTTAGATGAGGATCAGATCACGGAATAGGAGCCATTCTTGTAGAAAACCAGATTTAAAAAAAAACAGATTTACAAACGTCTTTCATAACTGCATTGAAAATATTTTTCGAATGACTACAACGAATAACTTAACCAATGTTTTAAACTATGTAGGCCTGTCATGACCTTTGTGACACACGAGTACAATGATGCACAGTGTGTAAAAGGCATCTAGAAACAGATTTAATTTTGCTACTAATTAATTGTCAGTGCTATTTATACTAAATATACTTACATTTCCAGATTAACATACTAATTAAATAATTCATTTAAAAGTGTTTCCCTCTTACTGAGAATGGAACAGTTTACTTAACCCAAGCTGAAATCCTACGTTTGGAAGTTTTACTCCAATAAATAAAAATCTCAATCTATTTATGTTCATTAAACTACAGTAAGTTACCCCTGTGCCAACACCAGAATGAATACACAATAAAACATTTGAATGAAAACTCTTGGAGCAAAAACTATTAAACGAAATCACTTGGAGTCCTGTTTACTGAAAATCTCTGCCATGTAAAAGCACACCCTTTCATATTCAACGGAAGGTAGGCTGACCTGCTACAGCAACAATGAGAACTGCAAGATCAAGATTCTCCACCCTGTTTGACATGCTGAACAGGACTTATTCTGACTGCATATTTCAGCCCAGACAAAAACATCTCTTAAATGGAATTTTGGTGTAGCTCAGTACTGAAAAAGCACAACTTACGTTAATGCTGGAGTAACATTACAACGAGCATCACAAGCTGGACAGTGCTAGTTTGCCTAAACTAATCCATACAACTCAACTGTAATATGCTGCACCATACATCCAGCAACCAATGGGAATACATTCAGTGTTTTAAGGGTAACTCTGGGCATACTACATTAAAAAGGCACATATTACGATGCTTTTGGCCGAACTGGGAATTTATGTTAGGAATTTAAGATGTTGTTGCAAATGAATCCTTGTCCTTGTATTCTTTATTATCTTTTTTTTTTTGCAAAGGCATGGCAACCTTGAAACGATTAGTCTGCACTACCTACATAGGAGAAAAAACCGTGAACAAACTTCACATATCAGCAGAAGAAAGAATTGACCTCCAGTTTGTGCATATCCCTCCTCCACTGATACAGAACCCCAGCTGAAAGGACTGTAACTTGGAAAGATGATGAGGGCCAGGGAGAAGATGAAGATCTGGTATAAAAATACACACACACACACACAGCTTTATGTTAATCATGTGCTGATTGGCCTCAGTACATCACTTATCTCATTTTTCAATGAAGTCAAGAAAAATGAAGATTACTGAGGATTGTTACCATAATGCAAGTGGTGGTCTGTGCTGCCTTGGTGGCTGTCCGCTTGATCAGGGCTTGCAGCTTTTGCAGCTGGGTCAGGAGGGATCTGCACACAGACATCTCCTGCTTTAACACCGGAAAGCCACTGTGTCACCACGCCAACAGGGCCCAAAGTGCCGTATTCAGTCCTGGGGACTGACCGAGGTTTTGCTTCAACCAACCGGCTGAGTATAAAAAGTCACATTAGCAGTGTACTCAACCGGCTGGTTGAAACAAAACCTTGGTCTGGATTTGCACTTTCTGGACTGGAACTTCCCACCTCTGTCTGTAAAGGATTACTGTTGCGAGTGACTTCCCCTGCACTGGCCGTATAAAGAATCTGTGATACAATGACACATACATATTGTTCTTTTCCAGTTGCTCCACTGTCCTCTGCAGCTCCTGGTTCTGTATCGAGCATGACGCTACCCTGGAATGCACACCACACCATGCAGGGAGGTGAGATGGTGGCTTCATCCATTAAAGAAAAGCGTCTTTGGCACAGATGCAGATTTAGAGAGACCAGCAGACGTGATGAAGCGGCGGTACCTGCTCTCCAGGCCGTCGATATATTCCTTTTTCCTGCGCCGGCTGTCCTGGGCCGACTGTTTGTTGCGGATCTTGCGCCTGACCTTCTTCAGAATGCGCTCCTCCGCCTGCAGAGGAATCCCATCACATGTGACATTTGCACTGTTTTCACTGCAAACGTGCCACAAATGTGCAGCTTTTAAAATTATTTTTTGCTTATTTTTCATATCATTAAGCTACCCGAACCAAACTGAAGACATTGTGATGACATTGTACATCCCGCAATGCTGGAACTTATTCTTTTCACTGGTCCATGTTTTACCAGATCCATATTTCCCTGATTGGTGATGCAGTTTACGGTGATACCTTTGTCAGGGGCAGGTTATTAGGCAAGGAGATGCCTTCCTGATTCAGAAGTTTCTGTTCCTCATCGGTAAGATGGAGGTCTGGGTATAACTTTACAAAAGACAAACAGCAAACCACTAGTGATACAATCCAATCACAGCCGAATCAGAGACTTTAAAGATTCCTGTAATATGTAATATTATTATGTAATATTCAATAATATGCTTCTTATTGCTTTCTATTCCTAGTGACACATTTGTAAGTGATATATTTTCTTTACTGAATCTTCATCAAGACCTACTGGCAGGTTCTCCAGACCCTGGTCATCTTTGCAGATGAGGCTGGTGGATGGTGCACCATCGGGTTTTGCTGTAGGTGCCAGAGGCAGCTCATTCACAATGCAAGAATCAGACATCAGCATGTGGGTGCTCCAGTCATCTGGGGAGAAACCCACAGCACTGTCAGAACCACCGCAGGCATCTTAATGTATCAAGGAACATAAGGTATCTACACTATAAAATCCATGGCACCGTAAACTGTATTTTTTTTTTGTTGCATTGTTGATATCTATCCATCCATTTTCTGTACCCACTTGTCTATCCTGGAAGATCTATGGACAACCTAGTAATTCCAATTACCTGCAGGATGTTTTTGGACTGTGGGGGGAAACCAGAGAACTTGGAGGAAACCCCATAACGACACGGAGAGAGCATGCAAAACCCACGCACATGGAGCCATGGCTGAGACTCAAACGCTGGTCCCAGAGGTGTGAGGCAGCAGTGCTAATCACTGCTAACCACTGCTAACCACTGCACCATCATACCACTCGCTTTGTCAACATTTGCTAATTTTATGATATAATTTTCAGAGTAATACTGACTCAACAACAGCAGACTTCCCTTATCAATAGACATGTGAAATTATATCAGGCTAACCACCAGACCAATCTGATACTGATAGGATCATAAATTCCATTAGTCTCTTAGCATCATTTAATGACTAAGAACTTTCCCAAAAATATGGCCTAAATTCTCTTAGATACTGCAGATAACAGAATGTACATCCATTTCAGATCTATTTTTAAAATAACATAGATATTGCTTGCAAAATACTATGTAACTCACCTAGCTGTATGGAAATTACATCCATACTCTGTTGTTCTGGCTCTGTCTTCAGGTTATTTAGACTGCTGATGTCATACACCAGCTGGTAGACGGCAGGCGGGGCCTGGTGGGGCCCCGAGGCCCTTGGGGGGCTGTCAGAGCTTGGATCTTCTGAGATACCGCTGTCGGTTTCTGAGAAGACCTCCCCAGGAGGACCGGAGGGATAGACATCATTTGGGTTGATGGCAGGGAGGACATCTTCAGGTTCACTGTCCTTCAGACCCTATTGAAGGCGACGAAACGTTTATCTGTTAAGGTGTCAATTCAATAAAGGGAAAAGGTGCATAGGTTGTGTTCTTAAAACAGTTCCCCGAAAGTCATAATCATTCATCTTCCAACCACTTATCCTGGTCAGGGTTGCAGAGGACGTGGAGTCGATCGCAGGAAGCACAAGACACAAGGTACACCCTGAATAGGAGAGCGGTTCATCATTAAGTGCATGCACACGCACACACACACACACACGTACACCAGGGCTGAACTGGCCATCTGACATACTGGGCCTCTTCCCAGTAGGTCGATGAGTTTATAGACCCCTCCCTCCGTTCAACGGATTTTTAAACTTTTAATCCCAGTCCAGCCCTTACACATACACACTAGCATACACTACAAGCTAAGAGGCCATGCAGCCGTACTGCATGTATTCAGACTCTGGGAGGAAACCTTGGATCCATGTCAATAAAGAACAGTTCCTAAAACAACAGCTATCATTTAACCCTAAAACATACTTACACACTGGGGGTCCAGTGCCCACGCCTCCAGGGTCTTTGGTGTCGTGCTGTAAAGAGAACTAGAGCAAAGGAAAGGCTCATCCAAACCCAGACCAGCCTCTATCTCGATGTCTTCCTCTCTCTGCCCAAAAAACACTTCTCCATTCTCTGCATTCATGTCCTAGAAGAAAGAAAAATGATGATTTTTTTTGCCCACTTCAGCTGAACAATATGCACAAAGTTCACAAAGATAAGCATTCAGAGGAACGTTGAAAAATGTACAGTTAAAATTCAAACGGCTTCCCACTTGATACGTACATCTCCCATAAAAACCAGACAACAAGAAGAAGACATGAACAGTCCTCATTAGATGACAAATGCGACATGGAGCAGGTGTGGAATTTGCTTAAGGAGTGTTCATTGCAGGAGGAGGAGGAGTGATTTCGGCGCACGCTTTGTTTGAACAGTGCAAGTTTTTCTAGGCAGGATATTTGTTTCCTGGTGGGCACAGGCCTATTTTCCACAACTTAGCAAACTTTCACGTCCGTAACACCTTTTAGCCTATATAAGGTATTTAATCATAGCTTTTTTAAAACCCAGAGTTTCCATCCGCAGGTAAAAAAAAATCCATCTTCTTATACATTCAAAGCGAAAACCTTATAAGCATCCCAGAATTTTTGAGTTTATAAATGCAAGCCTCTCATTTCCATGAAAGCATGGTACGGAAATAAATATTTTCTGTATTTGACAGCTGTATCCGACGCAATTTTCTGGTTATTTAAAACACATAAAAAGCTTGATAAATACTCATCTCATCCTCAATTTATCTAATCAGTTATGACTTGCACAGGGAAAGCATAGGAACCATTATATTTATTGAATATTTTATCACCACTACTTATTTTTATTGGCATCAGTTTCTAATTTCTAACCGGACTTGTAATAATCGCAGTTCTTTCACATAACAATGATACCTAATAATTACACTTATTTCTGCAAATGCGTAACTATCAAAAGTCATCGTGTTATAACTATCAATCTATGTGCTTCTCCGCATTATGAATACCTATCAAGATTTCTGTATGAAAATACATAACATTCAATCAGATAAATGCATGCACGGTACAATTAAATATTCATTTATATTCAGAGCAGATGATTTTCAATGTTTCTGTATAGTTTTGTTCCCTGGTTTCCATGGCATTGGAAAAAATAGAAACTTCTGACAGTAGGTTTTTAGTGTTTTCCGAACCTTCGATCTTTATAACGTGGTCATCTTTGGATATCTACTTACCTCGCATTAGCCGAATACAACTTTCAGTTGCGACACCGTCTCAGTTCTTTTTGCTCACTGTGTGGGTGGAGCTTTCTTTCTTATGTCAAGCCGGATAAACAAGAGATATATTGTATTCACATAGTACATTAACACCACCTTTCACTTACCGACTGTGCCAGAGACTATGGATAGATTGTATCCTGGCTTTAAGCAATGTTCGTAAATATTCTCATATATATTTTACACACCTTATCGTAAATAGGCCTATATGTTAACTCGCTGAATGTACCTTTGCACTAACTTTTCATTTTTCCGAAGCTGGTGGTTAGACAGGGAACTTCTTTACTTTCCAGCGGAATCCAGCTGGCAAACCTTATGTCAATCAACATAAGAAGGCGGATGTAAAAACGACGGAACTCCCTCGCCCCTTATTCTAATTGGCTGGCATAATTCAGCTGAACAATAAAATGGCAGAGGATTGACCAGCAGACATTGGTCGTCAGTAGTTAGCAGTTTGACTGGGAGCTACCAGTTTAGATTGAGCATTTGCAGCGACGGGGATGTACGTAGTTGTCATTAGACTCCCATTGCTAGAGGAAGACGGTATTTCCGCTATAATGACGCACGGGCTCTAAAGAGGAGCACAGCAGTAAGCAGAAAAAGTTCCTGATTGCGTGCTAGGTCTGTCTAAAATTCCGAGCATACCGAGGACACTGATTACTGAAAAATTTGTCATAAATCCTTAATTTTTATAAACATTACCTAGATCCACGTAACAAGTAAAGTTCCTCCCCCGCAACGTCAAATAAATAACGACTTCCTTGTCATTAAATGCGTCTCCCCCTGCACGCATTTCACCCCGTCTCTATTTATGCGCTGTTCAGCGCAGCACACAGAAGTGCACGATATCTGAACCTTTCCGACCTAGTGATGCTTCCGTCTTTATCGTCGTGGACGCTGTGTAAAAAGAAGCGAGTCGTTGCCTGTTGAAATTGCTTGCACCTATTATACACTCACCTAAAGGATTATTAGGAACACCATACTAATACGGTGTTTGACCCCCTTTCGCCTTCAGAACAGCCTTAATTCTACGTGGCATTGATTCAACAAGGTGCTGAAAGCATTCTTTAGAAATGTTGGCCCATATTGATAGGATAGCATCTTGCAGTTGATG